CGGGGCTACGCCCCCGTACCCCCAACCCACATAATCGTAACCCCCACTGCGAGACTTTCTTTGTAAGGACATATGATGTTCCCTCCGCTCCATCCTTTGTCCTCTTTACCGGTATATTTATGAGCCATATATAACCCTTTGACGAAACTACACTACTAACAGAGACAATCATCCCAAAGTTTATGGAGAATAGACTGTTTCAAGATGTTTCCTCTAACTAAGTGACGGATGCAAGGCTTCCCTAGAGACACATGCTCACTTTGAAATATGAATTTCTTTATTAGTTGTTTATTTTATTGATGGTGCCCACATTTTACTGATGGTGCCCATCCGAGAATTTTATTTATGATCACCTTATACGAAACTTTTTGTTATTAATATATATATATCCACTCCAAAAATATATCTCTAGATCATCACTACTTTCAAGCATTACATCGGATCTAGTCAAACATTTATTTAGGAGAGAGGCAGAGTAGAAGAGCACGATCTTACTTGAACTCGTACCTCTACTTCCTTTAGTACAAACGAGACAGTATCTTGCGTTTTGTTGACGAATATGAGTGAATTCAAGTTTCAATTTCTCTTCCGTAATGCACTTGTGCATCACAAATGCCCAGCTAACGCATGACATATGGACACCAAGTAACAATCAACTCGATAATGGTACTTTGTCATAAAGGTTAGAGCACAATAGTAACAAAAGCACTTAATGCACAGTCTCCTAAGGACGTGGACGCCTGTTTTAGCAAATCACATGCAAGGAATGGTTAATTGTCACTGGTTTGGAGCTACCCGATAGAGCTTATTGTCGAATGCAAGTCAGGGGTATCACATTATACATTGTAGGCTACATGCATTATACTAGGTTATTCATAAGATAAATATATATTTAGTAAATTACACAAACACCCCTACTAATTTGAAATAACTGTAATTCTTGCCATCCCATGCTGTGACTTTTGTCTTTTAAGAATATATATGGAAACAAAAGTTCTAGTATATATTGCCTATTAATCTTTAGGAAACTACAGATTGTAGGGCTTTACTCGAAGGGAGCATTTCCAGAAATTCTCGAAGGAAATGGATGAACCCAATCCTAGGAGGGGGTTCGGAAATAGTTTTCAACCAGCAATAAACACGCCTCAATTAGTACCTCACTAGCTGCGTGTAACATCCTCAATGGCGGGTTAGTGATCAAATTGTAAAGTTTCAAAACTTGGTGACTAAAGTAGAAGAATTGAATAGTTCAATGATTTACCTGGAAATATTTCTTAAAATTTGTTAGTAATTATTAAGGGAATTAAAGGGCAAAATGGTCATTTGACAAGGAAGATTTTTATTTCTCTTTATAAGATAAGGGAACCACGTGGGAAGGAAAGATTTCTCCATAACTTCTTCTTCCTTCTTCTTCCTTCTTCTTCTTCCTCTCCTCCCGTATCTCCAAGCTCAAAAGTGAGTTTTCTATTTAGATAATTTATGGTTAAATTTAAGGTTGGGTTATGATCATTGGATGATAACTAAGGTTAAGGAAAGCTTAAGTTATCTTAAAATCAAAAGATAAAGGAATTATGAATGATTAAAGGAAGGAAGTGAATAAATGAGATCTTAGTAGAAAGTCATTTATGGGATTTCCAGACCAAATTTGACTTGTCAAGGGTCCAATTAAGAAGTTAGAAGCAATAAAATTGAATTTGGAACATGTTGAAAATTTAGTGTAATTCTTGAATTACATATAAAGAATAGGATTTTGATGTTAAAGAGGTAATTAATGAATAGAAATGAGTTTGAATATGAGTATGTAAGTTAAGAATACGAAAGGAGATGATATATGAAGTAATTAAGCTAAAAAGAATGGATTTTCGGGTATAAATTGGAATTCTGGGCTATGTGCATTGATGCACATTCAATGTGTACCGATGCATCAAGGGTAAATTTCCAGAAATTGTTCAGTGTGTATCGATGCAAAGGAAGTGCATCAATGCACCCTTTAATAATGGAAACATCGAATGTAATTAGTGCATCGATGCACATGTTAAGGGATGCATCGTCACACTGTAGAATGCATCGATGCACTTCAAGGGGAAATTGAAATAGACATTTTTTTTTGTCTAAGAAATGATAGATTAGAGTATATCAACTAGATATTGATATGTATCAATGTATAAATATGTAGATATCGAGTACGAACAAGTCTCGGGATGACCATCAAGTTAAGATTCGATCGGAAGAAAGGAAATCATAAAGTGGATTGGAACTTAGTGAGGCCAAGGTGAGTGCATCTTATTACATAGGATTATATGGAAAGTGACTTGCGATAAGTCTATTTCTAATAGTATAGTACATGATTATGTAATTAATATGAAATGTGTGTATGTTTGATTATATGAATTGATATGTTTTTGTATGTGCTATATGGTTTATGTAAAAACACTATTAAGTGTTGATGAAAGAATATAAAATAAGTTATGAAATTATAGGAATATAGAATATAAATTAAGTGATATATGGAAATGGAAATATATGTCTACGAAGAGTCATAGTAGAACAAATATAAGTCATATGATAATGAAATATAAGACTATGTGAATACATGGTTATGAGATAAAATATGTAATAATAGGAAAATATGATAAAAGTGATTTCGTGAGAAGTGATAAGAACTAGGTAAACATATGTAACAGTATATGCTTAATACAAACATGAGTTGGATAAGTACATAGTGGTATGATCCATTATGAGAATTAATATAATAGCGCTTTTTGATTTAATGAGAGTTAAGGGAACTAAATAAGATTAAATTATAGAATGAAATGGGAATAGTATATCAATTAGGAAACTTGAATATAAAAAAGATGATACGAATATATAAGACAAGTTATATGCTAAAGTTATGGAGCTATATGAAAAGTTTATAAGGAATATATGAAATTGAATTAAGTAAATAGATTAAACTAATATATAAATAAAATACTATTAAACGATATATGTTAGAAATACGACATAGTTTATGTAATCTAAGGGAATACAAACAAATGAAGAATAAGGTAGATGATATGATATAAGTTATTATATACATATATGATATATGTTATCAAGTAATATGAAAGGACTCTAAAAATTTATATAAGCTACGTGGAAGTGTTCTAGGTGTTTCTATGTACTATATGAAGTATATACGATTATATGTGAAAAAGATATGATAATTAGGTTTACATGAACATCTAAGAAATGATCTACGTAATTATATGCAATTTGGATATATATTATATGCCATGGATCTATGTGACTACGGGAGAAAGAATAGAAGTTATGTGATATGCTATGAGAAATAATCCATGCGAATACATGAGTTTATGTGAATTGGTAATGTGAATATATATGTGAATATAAGTAATATGAGCTACGTGCTTATGAGATATGAATATGGAACATGAGCTATAAGAAAATAAATTAAGTAATTACATATGCAAATGGAAATGTTATGTGAAAAGCTATGTGGCTATGTGAAGATGTGTAATGGTATAAAAAATAATGCCCATGTTATGTGATATGAGAGCTAGGGGTATAGTTGGCATGCCAAGAGTCGAGGGATTATCAGTGGTCCTTCGGGATAAACAGTGGTCCTTCGGGACATAGTGGTTCTTCGGAACAATCAGTGGTCCTTCAGGACATAGTGGTCTTTCGGGACAAATATTCAGTGCCCCTTGAGGGAATTATACGAGCTGTGGTGACAGCATAGTGCACAACCTCTATGTACTCGCATATCTTTAGTTCTCACATGTGTATCATGGGTTAAATAAGAGATAATATCAATAAACTTGATATAATAATATGGTTGTTTCCTAGTGAAATGTTATGTGTGATATATGATTGTATAAATGGTAATTACAGAATTATATGATAAAAGGAATCAATGATAGTGATAAGTATGAAGATGATGATATAGTTGCTTTTGTGTATGTGTTTTATGATAGGACATATATGAGTACATGTTACAGTATATGTGAATGATTATAATTGATTTACATGATGGTATAGTAACAAGTTTACAAGATAAATGATATGAACATAAGAGATCATAGGAGCTTGAGATAAGAGATATGAATAATTATGATATATACGTATGTATGTATTTGTTACCTGTAAGAGTGTATGAATTGTATGAATGATAATAGTAATTGTTCATGTATGATTATTAGTTAAAGTTTGCATATATGTTTATTGCCTCACTAAGTCATAGACTTAGCGTGTGATTGTTTCACACGTAGGTTACAGAAGCGAGAAGAGAAGCGAAGAAGAGCAAAATAGGTCAGTATCTCCCTTACAAAGATTTCAGATCAGAAAATAGATAATTTAAATGTGTTTGGTTATGTTGATTATAGTTGGCATGTACTAATTGATTCAGTTGAATATGCTCTGATCAATTTTGGTTATTTTGGTCGATTTATGTAAATAAACCGTTTTTATTTTAATGAAAGTTTTAAATTTTCTTTGAATTTTGTCAAGAGTCAAAGTTTGAAAAGTCAATGTGACACCTCAGACTCGGATCCAAGTCGGGTATGGGTTAGGGGTGTTACACTGCGTCATTTCCCCAAGCGCAAAGATAGTTTCAGTCAACCTTGCTAGCTCCATTTTATAATAAATGCAAGACTAGTCAACTTAATCTTTTCGACGTGGGATATAGGGCCATCTATTTGTCCGATCATTTAGCTTGTTATCTAATATTTGAATGTCTTAAATTAATATCCAAATTTGAAAAAGAAAGTCATTTTTTATTATTTAAATTTTAAAAATTCAAATTCATAGATGATGTTAATGTCTTTTTTCAGCAATTAATGGGATTACATTAATATTGGTGTAACTAAAACTCGGATCAATTTTGATTCAATTTAGTTTATTTTCAAAATTTGAATCAAATTCATACCATCGTATTTAGGTCTATATCGAATCACATTTCAGATAAATTGATTCGATTTAATCAAGTTCAGATCAAAATTATCAAATCTATATGAACTTCAATGCCAAATAACTCAAAATCATATTCAATCTTATCCCAATTAGGGAGACCTTAGAGCAGCACAGCTCCCCAGTGCAATGGATGTCACTACTCCAGGCCATGAGCCTTCTTGATCACCCATTGATCCCGTCCAGGTAAGTATGACGAAACATTGTGTTATGCTCTTTATTTATACACCATCCTTATTTCTTGTTTATCATATGACATGTATGTAGGATCTTAGTCAAACATTGTGCGTCCGAAAATGGTTCAATCACATTTAAGCTTCCATCTTCTTTAAAAGGGTTCTTAAACAACAAAACGTGATTGAAAAACATCCATGGTATCTCTTACAAGTATTTTACCTTTGTTTAATTTTGTGTACCACAAGTTTTTTTTTACTAAAAATGAACTTGCAAAACACTCGTATCTTTATCTATTGATGTAACATCCAAAATTTCGGGTTAGTAGTTTCGGGTTTGTAAGTGGACCTCGTGAAATTAATAATTTAAGTCGTTGTGCTTAATTGGGTTGGAATTGAGCCCAATTAATCATAAAAAGGACATTTTTGATTAGAGGAAAGATGTGGGGTGACCAAAAGTGTAATTATGCCATTTTTAAAAGGTGGAGAAATATAACACCCTAAACCTGAATGAGCCTAAAGTATCACATTGGGTCGCTGAGGCAACCCCTGATTTTCTGAACATGTTTATTTACATTTCAAACATGGTGAATGATATCATAAAAGAAAAAATAACAATTATAAAAAAATTCAAATCGAAGCTCATGACACGTAATTTAAAACAAAAATAATACAACTTAAGGCTTTCAACTCAAATACCTAAGTAAGCTTCTATGAATACACATGTCCACTAAAGCTACAGTATAGTACTCTGAATGAGATGTTGGAAGTCATGTTGCGACGGTGCTCCATGAATTGCTCAAGCTACTGACCTGCCCACGGAAAACATCGGAAGACTGAGCTTATAAAGCCTAACAATATAATCGCTAGGGCTGTTCATGGACGGTTATGAGATTTTTCTAACCGTAACCTAATCGTTAAGAAATGGTTAACCGCTAACGGTTAACCATTATTAATGATTTAATTACGGTTAACTTATTACAATTATTTATCAATTTTTTTCATAATTTATACTACAAAAAAATATAACTTAACACATACTTACATCGATGTAAGTAAATAAAATAAAAAAGTATAGCACTTAACACATACTTACATCGGTATAATTATGTACATCTCCAAATATCTCAGTACCTAACAATAAACACATAATTATATTAGTGTAAGAATATTTCTATATTTCAAAGAAATAAAAATTAAAAATTATATATATATATATATATATATAATTATTTGTATACAAATTTTACTAAATATATATATATATAAATTATAAATAATAGAAAACTATATTAAGTTATTTGTGTAAAAATATAATAAATTAGAAATATAATTTAATTTCTTAACAGTTATTCGTTTATCAATGTAATTGTAACCTTAGTCGTTAACCATCATTTTTAGCGGTTTGGTTAACCGAAACCGTTTAATATTAATGGTTCTATTAATTAACATGTTAAATGTTACGGTTATACCGGTTAATAGTTACGGTTAGCGATTTCGGGGTTTTTTGAACACTCCTAATAATTACTAATCTAGAGCAGCATTATGAGTCTCATAAACATAAGCATACTAAAGACATAGTATTAAGCAGTACGTAGATGCATGATCTAGATCAAGTGCTACCTACTTAAGGCTTAAATGTTCTATTACTGAAGTAAGGTCTCATGTTTTCCTTAATCCTCTGCTAAAGGCCTCGCCATGAGTACACCACTAAAAGGTCTCTAGCCCTAATCACTATAACTGTTACGCATTATCTAAATGAGACACTGACACTCATGTGCATTATCTAAATGTAGTACTGACTAGTATTTGGTATAACATAGCCATCAGACACTAGAAAACTAAGAATATCACTCCTGGCTAACCTACCCCTTGCGAGTGTTAGGCCTTGTGCTGAATTAGCCATAGCAATGCCATGCGCAACTGCTTAGGTGTTCTTCGATATCCTATATCAATAGCAGATCATCACCGTCTATACTGGACTAATGTAACTATACAATGTATATCTAAGGCCCATGGCCACACAACACTGACATCGCTAAATCACTCCTCGTGAGTGGTCGGGCTTCGCACCCTAACAATGCCCCTCTAGAGCAACTAAGATATTTTAACTATACCCTAGTATAGATCGACACACTAAAGTGAGGTCAACCCCTCACTAGTTGCTATCTCACTCATTTTTTCATCTAGAATGTTATGTTATGCGAAGGTTTATTAGTCTATTACTATTATTGGTTTAATAAGAGGATCTATCCTGATCATTCGTTTTTTGGGGGCTCTTTAGTCGTTCTCAATCTCTAGGGAAATCTCTATGTGTTTCGCAGTCTTTCGACGATTGATGTGTCTGTTGTTCACTAGCTGTGATACTAGCTAATCTGATATCTGACTTGAGTTCATTACTAGGTAGCGATACTATAATCACTTTTGCTACGCTTTCCTTCAATTTGCCCTCAACTTAGAGGGACAACTATATGTTTGCCACTCGCTGACATTCATGCAGTATGCAACCTCTCCAGTTCGTAATTTGATTATTTCGTCATATCGCTTGCTAGTATGTCATCTGTAATGGTCCTTCATTCTTAGGTAATCTCCATGTATTTAACTGAATATACTTGGATGCATTACACGTACTATGGTTACTCTGCTTGTAATCCATTTCTACGAGTGCCTCTAGGCCCCTTTGGTCATTTGCATCCCCTACAGACCAAGTTCTACCATTACGGGCCATCCTTAGCTCTTACGGACCTTAACTGGGTCGAATATAATCATCTAAGGTGGTTAGTATCGATACTCTACTTGTAGTATCGATACCCTAGGGTCAAGTATCGATGCCTCTATGAGTATCGATATCAAAAATGGCTTCGAAGTCTTGAAAAATAGCTCAATATCAATATTGTCTACCTTACGTATCGATACTGTAGGGGCAATATCGATCTAATCCCCCAATTCATTCAGTATCGATATTACTCATCTCAATATTGATACTCGAACCAAGAAATGGTTTAATTAAGCTCAAGCAACACCTAAAAATCACTCTAAATGCCATAGTTTGATTTTTAATCATGTGCTAAAGTTGTGGGAAGTTATTTAAGGTGTCATAAAAACACTTTCTTTACATCTAAAACATCATCTATGGCATGAATCAAGTTTGAATCCTAAAATGTTCAACTACACAAATCTTAGCAATTCATCATGTTTATGGAAGCCTTAACACTCCAAAGGATTAGAAATACACTACATTGATGTTTGAATACCGAAATGAAGCTCCTTGCTTAGCCACATTTCCTTCCTTGGTGATTTGGATGAAAACCCTCACTTTTCTTTAAATAGGAAAGAACCAAGACTTTGAATCATCAACCCAAGGTTGTTGGATGGATTTAGGATGAAAATAAAGCTTAAAAAAGTACAAAATGGTTTAAAAGACTCACCTTTAGCTATGGCATTTGGAGGAGAAATGACAGAAGGAAAGAAGAAAATGAAGAGAAGATAGAGATGAAAGAGATAAAAAAAAGTCTCCATCTTTTAAAAATGGAATAATTACACTTTTGGTCACCCCACATCTTTCCTCTAATAAAAAATCTCCTTTTATGGTTAATTGAGCCCAATTCCAACCCAATTAAGTCCAACGACTTAATTTATTAATTTCACGAGGTCCACTTACCTTTCGGATAAACTCGAAACTACTAGCTCGGAATTTGAAGTGTTACAACTAAAATCTAAAACTATTTGAAGGATAGACTGTTATGAACATTTAAAGGATTAAATTTAATTTTGATATCTTATAAATCTTTCGATGATAGACTAAAGATTGTTGGTTACGTAATACAAATTTTAGTTTTCCATTTATCTTATTATTTATTCAAAGTTTTTGTTATGCATGTTGTATTTTTTTTCTTTGTATTTAGATATTAAATTTGTTATTGTCTAATCACAAATGTACATTGAAAACAAACCAGATAAATCAAAGAACCAACCAAATAATCATCGTGCATTCCCTAACATACAAATGTATTATAAGTCTTAAGGAGTAACGAAGAAATATACAAGAATTCATGCACTAAGTAAAGCCTTAACTCCATCAGTATGCTCAAGTATGTCCCTCTATGAGAATTCATTCACTTCAATATACAATTACTCTGCATAGTTCCTCTGTTTTTCAGAATCAGTACTCTGCTTGGTGTCAAGGAGTTCTCTAAACGACATTCATCTCTTGTCTCTCTTAAGGTAAATTTTAACAGAAATGATAGTAACAGATGAATTTCATATGGGATTTTAGGACTTTGAAGAACTCAACTCTAGGTACATCCTTGCTATAGACAAGTTATTGTCAATTAGTTTCCTTTTTTTAAGATTATCTATGAAAATAGACGTTCTGGTGTAGGTTAGTATTGTTGTTCCCCTATGCAATGTTAGACATTAAAATTTGTTCTTGGTAAAGAAAATTAGCTTTGCAGTTGAACGTGATTTCAAATAATGATATATTATTCAATCCAATAGAAAATATTCAATCCAGTCTTAAGCGAAAATGGATATAAAAAATTCAGTTGAGATCTAAAGTAGCATCGATTGAAGATCTTGCCGGTCTTTCAGTATTGATTTCTGCAATTTGGAAGGTCTAGGGAGAGAGGGTGGCTTGGGATTAGATTGGTGTGGCATTCAGGCCACATACTAAAGAACTCGGTAATTTTTTGGATGGAGATTTTGTATAGACTTCCGACAAGGAGTCGGCTTGTGACGTTTGGTTTAGACATCGACGGCATTTGTATACTGTGTTTGAACAAGCTTGAGACCAGTGATCACCTGTTTTTCAAGTGTGCGTACTATACATAGGTTTGGGGCAATATTTTGCAGGCTTATAACTTGGCAAGAGGCCGGTTATGGGATGGGACTAGGAGTTTGGTTGGGCGTACGATAATTTTAGAGGGAAATCGTTGATGTCCATGTTCTGCTTGGTATGGAAAATATTCATTACTCTAATATGGAAGGAAAGAAACCAGCGACCTTTCTAGAGGTGTACGATCTAGAGGCAAAGTTGGTGAGCCACTTGTGAGGCTGACGGTTAAGACTGAATATTTATTGTTTTGTTTTGGATATTTAGTTCATTGGATGTATTGGTTCTTTTTAATATAGAACTCTTCACTTATAAAAAAAACGATTATCTGCCCTTGGAAATGAATAAGGTTTAGGGGATGAAATTTGGGATTTCTTGTAAAATCTTTTGTAAACAAGTAATTGTAGAACTTTACCCCCGAAGGGAACCCTTCCAGAAATTCTGGAAGGCCAGGGCAGGGCCCAAGCCTAGGAGGAGGTTTGGAAATGGTTTTCAACTAGTAATAAACGCGCCTCGGTTAATACTTCACTGACTGAGTCATTGCTCCAAGTGCAAAGATGTTTTTAATCAACTTGTTAGCTCCATTTCAATTATGTTCAGATCTTTAATAGCGGATTGCCAATGATGTTCAAAAGTTTCACATTTCAATTACTAACAAGGAAAAAAAAAAACCAATCTCAAGACTACAAATATTTTTATGAGCAACAGAATCCTCGTGTACTGAAATGCCAAGGGGCATGAGTATTCATTCACTTAAAGACAATAAAGTGCACACAACTTACTTCTGACACAAACCAGAGGATAACCAGCAAATTACTACTGTAGCTTCATTATCCCGGGAAAAGAAGGGAGAATTGCTATAAGAGCATCACCATATCCGACGGAGTCTGTCGTATTAAGCAAAGAATGTTAGAATAACTGATGACGCAGCACTGTAAAATGCCACAGGTTGAAATATATTGAAAGATGGCAAAGACATACCGCCGTCCTCCCTTAGAATTTTTATAACCTCCCCAGATGCATCAGACTGTAAGAGAATGACCAGATAAGTAACAAATAATTATAGTTTTTATGACCTATCATTTCTAAGTTATAATTATTTTACAGCCCCATATACACTTGAGCATACAAGAAACGTTAGCATAAAGACAAGTTGTTTAATCGGAATTGAGATTTATACCTCGATCGGAATTTCACCACCTAGTTGTTCGATGTAGCAAAGCACCTGGCCTTCCTTTACTATTTGCTTCTGTTGAATAAACAAAAGCACAATTCCGATTTTAAGAGTACAAAGGAACCAATGGGACACACCAGACTATGATGGCTTCCAAAACAATGGTTTCATGAATGTTTTGTCTATTGAAGATACTTTGAAAAACAAGGAATAAACAAATTCTATTTACCTCCTTACACGACGGTGGTGTACGCTTCCCCTTTATGGTTCGTGATCTCCTGAAGAAACCGACCTGCACAATTTATCTTCTTAGTTCTATGAGTTCAAAGAAAGGGAAAAATCTAAATTTTTGGATTCTCACCATTGGAGACTGAAGAATCACCAAGCCTTCATCTGCAGCTTTATCAAGGAACGATTCGATTCTCCCCGAAGAAGATAGTGGTTTGGTGATAGCTAAAGAAGTTGAAATAGGTCCATTTGACACAGGTGCTTCGACATTTTTATTGGTACTGACAGTGACAGGAGGAGAATTTGCAATCGCAGGCGGAGGTTCGCTTTTTCCAGCTAAGTCCCTCACAAGGTATAGCCGAAATCCACCAAGCTAAAAACGAGACAGAAGAAAGATTAACAATTTGGTAATATATAAATTCCAACATCTGTAACTGCTTCGATTCAAAGCAAAACAATTCAAGTGAAAAATCCATTCACATTCGTCAAGCTATTTATGGCACAATAACAAAATCTACTTACTTTCAGTTCAAACTCTGCAACGGAAATCGTATCGCATACAGTTCTGACCAGAGATTCCACCTGCAGTTAGATACTGTAAACTACAAACTTCTAAAATATAAGCTCGATGTAGAATTTTTCGTTCATTTATAGAAGACATTCCAAATCATGAAATATTAACATATTCAAAATCTACCAGTCAAAACATTTTTAATTTAAAGGTGAAAAAAGGATACAAATAATGATTTTGCATAACATACATTGCTTTCATTAATGATTTAAACGAACAATTACAAACTCACCCCAGATGAATTTGGAATAAGCTGGCTAGTCAAACCAGACGTTTTAGTCTCTTCAGAGTCATCTGCTAAATTTGTAGTAGCTGCAAGACGGAAACCAAAAGGGTGTAAATATAAGCTAAGTAATAACAGAAACGAATATGATTCTCACCCTAATATCCGACTTTTAAGTATTATATATAGAATGACAAATGAAGAAAGAAATGTCACAAAATCTGACACTTTCAACAAATCATTGTCGTTTATAGAACTCAAAAGAAAAAACAGAGATGATGGAGAAAATTCAAAATATTAAAAAAGTAAACAGTTGAATCAGTAGGTACTTCTCTGAGTGGACAACAGAATCACAAAGAGAGATGAAATCAACGTTATCAACTTGCACCATAGAAACGATCATATTGTCCTCTAGAGTAAACAAACTAAAAGCTACTTTTCTATTTATAAAAAGTTGCATTAGTAGTGTGTATATTTGTTTTGTTGTACGTACGTATATGTACTAAATAATCACCAAAGGCCTTTACGGAAATATTAGTCTGTGATGCTACCCAAGGGGTAAAATTCTGCTAAATCAAGAAATGTGTAAGGGAGCATAGTATACATGTCCTCATGCGACCGCCACAATGTGAAATGTATTTCTTTAAGAACAGGAAGAACTATTAGTGAGAGCATAATAGATTACTGTCTCGGCTCTCTGTATCACCATACCTTTCTGCACGGTGAATAAAGTAGATCAAATCGGGATTTACCACTTGACATAAATATGTATTAAGAGAACTTGGCTACTATAGTTCACCGGGAATAAAAATAAAATAAAAACGGTGGCCTATATTAGCAGAAATTACTCACCCTGGGTTCCCAAAGTTGGACCACAACCTATGCTGAATGCCTTCTCTGAGCGTCTAACCAGGGAAGCATACCGAATTGGTCTTTGCCTTAGCCAAATTCTATCATTCTTCAGATTTGAATTATCAACTCTTGCTTTCTCAAAACACAACTTTGGAACTCTAATATTTGGAGCTCCTATGCTACCTGAAATACGAGCAAGTTGCAATGACTAAAGTGCAGACATACATATATGAAAGTTTCTCAAGTAACGATAAAATGATTAAATGCTAAAAAAATCTTTATTGGTTTTGCGGAAAGACTGTCAGAGAAGTCATGTCAGATTAACAATGGGTCCAAATTCCATAAACGATTTCTGGGTTTTAAAGTTATGAATGTACAAGCATTTCTCAGGTCTAATTAAAGTCTTTAAACACAACGCAAAGAATACAAGGCCTGCATTGGCAATTTCACAGCTTTATCAGTCTATAATGTATTGGCATAAACAGAAACTATCGAACATGTTGGGTTCTCCCTGCATGGATTGTGCATGTCCTAATCAAAGTATGAATCAACTTCTATTGCCTGCAAAGGTGGAAGGTACTAACTCAAGTATTGCAATGGTGCATGCATCACAAGATGCATGTCATCCAACGGCGCCCAAGAGACATGAACCATTAGACAAATTTGAATCTTTACATTTACCGCAAACGTGCAGACTTGACAGAAAATGGTGGGTAAAGTAGCTTTTTATAACTGTCAAACATTATGCATTCGAACATAATAATGATCGACCTTCTTCACTACAACAGAAAGTCACTTAACATGTGGAGTTTATAATAGAGGAAAAAGCAAAAGAAAAAAACAAGTGGAAACAGACACTTCAGTCTATTCACATAAAACCTAGACATGCAACTTATGTTTGATAAATTTAATAACAAAATACATTTTATGTCATTGATATTTAAAGAATCAGAAAGTATGAATGTATATCTCTGTGTATTACAAGAACGAAGTAGAAGCATTATAGATTACATACCAAGCAAAAGCACAAGCAAAATCATATGTTTCAAAACTTTCAAGACAAAACCTCAAGAAGGCAACTTTGTTTCCAGAAAATCATGAATTAACAGTATTTTATAAACTAAACAAGAGCAAAGTGAATCATTTCCAAAGCAGAATTATATAAGGCAAATAGCACAACAAGTAAACAATTTTACCACAATGCTTATAATTCAAGTAAAAAATTCCAATTCCAAACAATCCCCAGTCTTTCGAAAAAAAACAAATAAATAACAAATTTCATTTCCTCTATAAACAAAAGCAAATTCAAAAACCAACACACAAAAGAAGAGTAAAAAAAATGAAATCTTAACTCCTCCAAAACTTCAAAAACAACCAAAACCTAATTGAAATCCCCTAAAAAATCATATAGAAAGATTCTGAGTGAGATACTTACATGTGGCCATCGAAAAAGCAGCCAATTTCTTCTTTTCTCTTTATTTTCCAAGGGACCAAATGTAAGAACTTTGAAGAACAAAAAAACCCAGGAAAAAAAAAAGATGAAAACGAAAGGCAATGAGAAAAAGTGTCGGTGAACTAAAATGTAGAGTCAAACGTTAATCCCCACCATGAAGGAAATTTCAGCAACACATTTACTGTGTAGCCAAAATAAAACAGCACTGACCACTCAGCCAAACGCAAGTGAATAAGGCCAATTGGCCAAGTACAGTATTACCTCAACTGGAATTTTTTATTTTTTTTCCAATTTCTGTTGAACTTGCAAGTTTAGATATTTCTTTTCCTGAAATACAATGCTATATATAACAAAAATAAGAGAACATCAATTTAGTTAAAAAATATTAAAATAATAATTAATATTGCTATTAATATATCTTTGTTTGTGTGAGATTAATACATTTTGTGTGATCATCCAAGTTCGATTTTACTTGAGATAAATAGACCATAATTTTATCTTAATTCATCTATATTTATAAATAGCTAATCGAAATTCATTTTCAGTTCGTTCATATTTATTTTATTTTTAATTTAATAAATTTGTGTAGTTTTACTTTATTATAGATGTACATTTTAATATATTTTTAATGTGGGTAAAGAATGTAAATGGTATCTCATATTATAGGATATTATTTTATTAAATTTATTGAATATTAAAAATTATAAAATAGTTTTTTGATTATGGAATATTGTTTTGTTGAGTTTCTCAACTTTTAAAAGTTACAAGATGGTCACCCAACTATTCATTATAATCTAGACTCGTCTTTTTCGTTAAAAAATTGATAGCTTGTTTAAGTTGGATGTTAACATGGTGAATGGAATATTATAGTCATTTGAGATTTTGGGATCAAATTTTATCATATTACAGTCAACAAGTTAACGTTCAGCTCAGAATATCGCTCAGAATATCGTTTATTTTTTAATGAAAAATAACGAGTTTGGAATATAATGAATAGTCGAGTGATAATTTTATAACTTTTGAAAGTTGAGAGACTCAATAAAACAATACTCTATAATTAAAAGATCATTTTATAATTTTTAATAATCAAAGAACTTAATAAAACAATATACTATAGTCGGACAATTTGTTTTCTTTACCCTTTTTAATGTTTACATTTTAGGATTATAAACTTAGAAAACGAATAGAGTTTTTTTTATATTTTAGTATTATAAACTTAGAAAATGAATAGAGTTTGTTTATAGTTTAGTATTATAAACTTATAAAATGAATAGACTCTAAACTTTGAATGTTTGAGTTAGGGATGATAGACTGGTAAAATTTTATGGATTTCATATTGTACTCACTCTAATTAGGATGGTGCGGATATAAAAAGTCATATCGGTCGTGAATAGTGGGTATGTGATGGGTTTGAGATCTTACCCGCCCGTATCCGCTCGTCTCACATCCACCCGTCCCGTATCAGCTCGGCCACTAATTACCTACCATATAAATTTTAGATTATTATGAATTTAGATATAATTTTAGATAATATTCTGTAAATCTTAACACTTTATAAGACATGATTTGTAATTTAACCAAATATTAAAGTATAACATTTTTAGAGTTGAAGATGTCGCTTATATAATCTGTGAGGTTGTTGATAGACGGGTATGGACGGATACAAGTAGGTACGAGATGGGTGGTGGGTAATCAATTGAGTAGTGGGTGTGGGAGTGAATTTGAGAATATATCCGCATAGGCGGGTGTGGAGTTAAAAATTTTACCCATCGTGTGTAGTGAGTAAGTGGTTGATATAAAAATATTATGTGAGTATGGAAATAAGGGAAGCCATATCTACACCCGCCCCATCTGTTTCCATCCTTAGTTGGGAACCCATATTTTAAATAAATTTAATATTTTATCAAGTACAATTAAGATTAAATTAATAGAATAAATAAATAATAAAAATTAAATATGTAATTATATAATTTTTTAACTTTCATATCGTTAACGGTTTTAGGCTTGATTGGATAACATTTTAATGATTAAGTGGCCTAATTGAAAGGAAGTTTTAGTTTGATGGTCAAAATAGAATGATCCAGTATTTAGTTACTATTTGAGTAGTTTACCCCTCTCCTCATAAGACGGCGCACTACTATAAAATAGCCTCTCTGACTCTCTGTCTCTTGCTTTTCTACCCTAATTAATTTTGATTTTCTTTTCCGTCAAAAATCTCCCACGGTCCCATCATAACCAGTTCCCAGATATCCCAGTTAAGTTTGAATTCTTGTCTTCGGTTGGGGTTTAAGCTTGTTCACAATTTATTATCTCTTAAGTTGGATATGATCATTATCTTTTAGGGATTCAAAGAGGGCTGTTTTGTTTTGAGGCATTGAAGAAACAAAAACCAAAAATCAGATTTTAAAAAATTGTAACAACCTGAAAATTTTGAAGAAAAAAAATTTATAAATTAAGTAAATTGAATATATTTTAGGATTAAATTGGAAGTTTTCAAAACTTGTGACCATTTTAGAAGTTGAAAGAAATTCAGGGACCAAACTCTAAATTCCTCCAAAAAGTGTCGACAGCTTTTAAACATAAATATGTGCAATGTGTTTTCTGGTTTCATACCTGAAACAATTGCAAAACTTTACTCTTCCGCACCCCTCCTTGCAAGCCCGATTCCGACGTCTTCCGACCTCCAATCGTAAAATTGAAATCACCGTCGTGTTCATTTTCGACCCGTGATCAAAACCCAGTAAACTAATTATAGCGAAACGCTGCTAAACGATATGAATTTCGAGTCAAAGTCTCGACGTTTTTTTAGCACCACCGTCGAGAAAATCTTAAATTCATCTCCGATCGTTGATCGGTTTTTGACACCTCCCGCACCATCGTGTTCCTTGTGTCGTTTCGAGTCTGACGGTGTCCTTCCTGTCTCCGTAGGCGGCAGCGCGTGAGGGAGGTGGAGCGGTCAAAGATTAGTCCAAATTGAAATCGAGCTTTCCACCGTTCAAAAATTTGAACTGAGGTTGGTAAGTGACTCAAAATCGCTTAAAATAATTTTTGCATGAATTTTTAGACACCGGAAGAGGTCTCACCCCCTACGCGCCGCCCCTGCGCGTGGAGAATGATGCGAACGGTTGGGTGATGTTGTGACCGGCTTGACCGGTCCAAACCGGTCTGAACCGGGTTGACTGGTATGACCTGACTAGACCCATTGACCAACCCGATCCGTTGACCCGACCCGACCCAGTGACATTTTAGGAATTATTTTGAAAAATGTGACATTGGGAATTATTTTGAAAAATGTGACATTTTAGGAATTTTTTAAAACAGTGACATTCTGGTAATTATTTTTAAAATGATGACATTTTGGGAATTATTTGTAAAATGGTGATATTTTGGTAATTATTTTTAATAAATGTGATATTTTTGTAATTTTCGAATAGGACTATTGAATCCCTTTTCCCATAACTTTGACTGACTTTAAACGGCCATTAAACGACATTTGATTTTTGTTCGAGTATACTTATTCTGACATTTTTCGACGTGTTGAATCCGTTTCCGAAGTCCGTTTGTCCAAATTCAAACCCTAAGGCCTCCAAATCATCAGTCAAACCCGTTGACATTGATTTTGACCAAGAATTTGAATTTTCGAAAAGTCATATTTTATGTTGTTCGACGCCCTAATTCCGATTCCGCACTCCGTTTGATCAAATTCAGAGCCGAAAGCTTTCAAATTGATAGTCAAATCCGACAAATCCGAAAAATGCTTATGTACTAAAGAGTTTAAGCTTTGAATGGTTGAGTAAGACTTGAGACTGATAAATTATTAATGTTTGAAGGTACAAGCGACTCTCCTGACCGTTCGACAGCTCGACCTACCTCTTCTAGATCAGTTAAGTCGCGTGTGTCAGTATTCACCCGTAAGACCCGTAAATTTTATGATTTCAGAAATTAATTTTGTTACCCATTAGTAATATAGTGTTATTATAGATTAGGTTCGAAAACAGTAGCAGAGCGTGGCGAGGCCAGCAATCACTAGATCTACTATTTGAACCTATTATCGAGGTGTGTTCCCTGTGTACTATTTGATTGTTTTATATGTTTTGAAATATGGTACATTGAAAGCTATAGTTTAATGTTTTATTAATCCACCTATTTACTGGTGATGGTTTATGGAATATGACTGATATATGATTGGTTTTCATTGGTATATGATAATATTGATTATGAAATTATGGAAATTATGCTTACTGCATAAATAGTATTTTTGAAATACTGATTTTGGGTTGGATTGCATTACGGAGGTACAGCTTTGATCACGCTAGTAAACCTTATGGACCTAATGTGACTCTTGGGTAGGCCCACGAGCCTCAAGATGCTTCATTAGGTTGGTTCCCTTTGTTGTGTGCTTAGGGTAAGCCCTACGGATTTACGGACTTAAGGATACAGACCTCAAAGCCTGTCTTTAGGTTGACTTCCTTTCTGCTGTGTGCTTAAGGTAAGCCCTATGGACGCAGTTCTGGGGAATTGTGGATGGTGTACAGGAGAAGGGTTTTAAATTACGAGTTTCAAAAGTTAAACTTCATTATGATTTGATGATGAATTTCTGAACTATTACTCAATTACTGTACCTACTATGATTTTATTTTACTATTGGGACACACTGAACCTAGCTCACTTTTCGAAAATATTTTCCCCTTTCAGATACTGTTGGTTAGATACTCAGATCAAGCACTTGGAGGATCAACATATCTCTTGAAGTATATCGTATTGTAATGTTTTATCTTTTAAATTGACTCTATTATGGTAACATGAGCCTTATTTTAAAAGTATTGAATTTTATAATGAGTACTCTTTTTGCTAATTTATATTGGTTTATTGTAATTTGGATTTTTAAAGACATGTTTTAATTAAATTGTTATTTCTCTCATAATTATGAGTTGTTTTTTTATAGTATAATTTATTATAATTTCATAAATGTCATTTATAAATATGATTTTTCGTTGATAGAATAACGGTTTCGAAAAAATGTCTTTAAGAATCATGAATGTGATCTACTAGACTTAGTCGAAACGCATAGACCGGGTCTAGGGTTAAAAAATGGCCACTAATAATCTTAAGTTCCGAAAGGAATGCCAAAGGATCGCTCTAAGAATCCACCGGGATTTGGATTCCGATCAGCCAAGGAAGCTGAGCTGTGGGATGATGCACGGTGGCCCATCTGTATCGAAAATCCGCATAATGCTGTACTTTTACGGTGTTCTTCCTCCGAGAACAGTTGTCGTCCCTTCATGTGCAACACAAGTAATCGTTATTCTAATTGTTTTGAACAGTACTTCAAGTTATCATCAACGTCATCTCTTTCTGCAGCCATGTTACCGAAAATTCCTTCGGCGGAGATGAACTCTACTTCTTCTCGTGGTCGGAGTTGTCGATCGCCGATGCTTCTTTGCCCTCTCTGTCGAGGAGAGGAGAGGTTTATGGTTGGACGGTCGTGGAACCAGCACGACGAATCATTAATAACAAAGTCGGGAGTTGTTCTTCTCAGACATGTGATTTCATGGGGAGTTACAGGGAACCCAGGAACCATGCTAGATCCGATCAGCCTAATGTCGGGCCGACGGAAGTGGAATCGGAACGTCGGCGTGATTGGATTAGGTTTGAGGCCGAAAGGGATTATGAAGATGCTGTTATCCAACTAGATTCGGAATTAGAGGGTGAAAGTCATGAAGGAAGCCCTTCGGATGATGATGAATTTCTTTTTTATCTTGCAATCAGCCTTCTTGAAGACAGTCGCTGACAGTGATTTCGAGATGCTTAGGTTGGGATCAGGATGGAGTCATCCACTTATAGAGAGTAATGATTTCGATGGTTAAGACCGAGATCGAGGTTTTGAAATCTTTGTTCTACCAAGACCGGCAACACCTTTAACTCCACTAGCAAGACCGTCTAGGAGAAAAGTGGCACCGCAAGTGAAGAGAAACTTCGACGTCGAAACTACTTTCCCGGAACTCTTTCCGTCCGTCGACTGGACCGCCACAACATCTTGTGCAACCTTGCCAATGGTGCCGACGTTTTTAAAGCTGTTGGATGGGAGGAGACTACAAATATTATTGTTGCAGCCAGGCTTGGGGCCATCGGAGCAACTTCCACAAGCCTTGGACCTTGCCAAGTTGCATTGAGCCGAGTTACAACGGGCGGACTTGTAGGTAGAGGAGACATAGTTTTGGTCACAATCGACCCACAGCGATTCAGCACCGAGATCAAGAGACAACTTGATGGGCACCAATGGGGTTCTTTGCTTGATTTGAGTGACATATTGGGTTGTCGAAGCATCTTTTGTGAGAGGAAGGACTAATGCTTTAGGCCTAAAGGAAGCTTGGATTGAAGGAGAGACCGTGAAGAACAAGAGAGAAGCCGAGAAAAGAAGGAAGTTACTGGAGACGGCCATTGTAGAGAACAAAGAAAGTTGTGCAGAGGTGGTGAAAGAAGATGTCTATTTATAGTTGCAAGACGAGCAATGTCAGTGGCTGGTGGCAAATCTAGCACGTTTTATCCAAGATGGCGAAATTTGACCATGGACTCTGCTTTTATCATATACATTCCCTTATCTCCAGAAATAAAAGTTGCAAATTAAATATATTTAAGCATAGAAAAAGATCATGAATTATTGAGCATCAATTTTATAAAATCGTCAGATTTCTCATTATACCGCTAGTTTGCATCAACTTCCGGAATGGAATTTGTCTGCCCCTTTATGTCACCTTATTTACACATTTTATAAAAACTGAAGACTAAATTTATTTATTTTTTTAAAATTAATTTTAAATTTATATAATAAGTAAACATTTAACTCAAATTTATTTATTCTCTCATATACTCTCAAATTATGAATTCTATACTCATTAAAAATATTTCATTTTCTTTCTCTATAGTTCTTCTCCCCCATCCCTCAAAGTTTGACTTAGATTAAATTTAGAATTTATCAAAAGAAAAAACGAAAAAAAAATTGATATCAATATCATCCCTAATTGTTCTTAATTATTCACTTCTGAAATTAGTAAGGATTAAACTATTCTTCGTTTTTAAAAGGGATTAATTTTTTCAATTTTAAAATTGAGAGAAACCTTTACTTTTTAATATTTGCGCCTGATTTATTGGATTTTTAATATTAAATTGCACACATTAACATTTTAATCAATTTAAAATCTCTACTTAATACTAAAATATTTCATAAATTGAAATTATACAAATGAAAATTCAATTAGTAGTTGTGGTTTAATATAATATAATTAAATTTATATAAATAAGAAGTAATTAAAGCAATTAATATTGACAAACGTAACAAAGTTTAATTGAAGGGACACTATGGCATATTACTTTTATTCGCAATATATATATTGCTTTTTCCCCCTTATAAAATGAGTAAGTATGTATAACGGATATTATTTTTTCGTTTTAGCTTAACAAAATATAAATATATAATTGAGTAGAGTCATACATTAACAAATGTAAAATTATAATTTGCTTTCAAATGTGTAAAGTTAAAAATAAAAAAGTTATAAATATTAATTTTTACGGTTGTTTTGAAATCACCTTTTCTACCATAATTTTTTTTTAATTTTTTATTTGTTTAACATGAATTTTACGATCAAAACAAATTTTTTAACAAAAAAAATACGTTTAAAAAACCACACTAATCGGAGCCTTAGATCCTTTTATCTTTCGAACGTACCAAACGCTTGTGTATATTTCGAAGTTCCTACCCAAAGAAATTTTATCAGGTAAAATACATAATAATCAATGATGTTTAAGTAAATTTTTATTTTTCTCACTTAAGTTTAAAAAGTAACAAATAAATCATCAATATTATCAATTTATAATAAAATAATTATTCACTATCAACACTCGTTACTAAAGATAAAAGAATATTTATGTAACACGTTAAACTTGCTAATTAGCATCGTTTGACTCCTCAAAACTAGTTTTGCCCTACATTTAAAAAAATTAAAGAAAAAAAAAGTTCTCTTCTTCTCCGTTGTCTTCTTTTTTTTTCTCTCTATTTAAAAACCAGGGCAATACTCTACGACTCTCAAACTTTGTTCTATAAAGACTTGTTTGGCCAGCGATCTTCAACAAAAAGGAACCTGTTCGTCTCCACCTTGCGACTCAAAAAGAAGATTTTGAGGCTTCAAATCTCGTAGACGCCTCTATTGTGGCAGTAATCAACTACTTTAATAAGACGATGTAAATAAATTCTAGCTTCATCCTCTTTTAGTCTCCCGCTTTTGTCAATTTTGTCGAAAAACTCGCCTTCATCAACTTTTTAATGACATTGGGATGCTTGATAAGCTCCATTGTTGATATTTCTCTTTTTATATGTTCGCCCATTTGATTAAGGAGAACTTGGTCGCGGTCGAGGATTTTAATGGTGACCAGGTGATGACTCAAAAAACATAGTCCCCATATTTCTCTAATTAAAACAAGGATTCATTTATAAATTATTACTGAATTTGCAGGTATCAACACCAGGGTTTTAAATAGTATTCGCGGTTACGTTTATCACGGTTACAGACATAACAGATGTTATTGCGGGTATTGTGGTCGTGATTTTTTTAAATGACGCATAACTTACCTTAAAATGACTAAATTAAATATAATTAAAATAAAATTATAAAATTTAAATTGCATAAATTTATATTATTGAAATTAAGACTAAACTAAATAAAAATTAAAGTTTACATTTTAAACTATGGATTAAATTATAAAGTGGGAGGGATCTCAAATTAATAAATCATTTAAAATTTTATTTTAAAAATTATTAAAAAAAGAAATAAATCACCCCTCCCCTTCTCCGACCTTTTTGTTGGGAAATAAACAGAGTACGAGTAATTTTCCTATAACCAGATTAGTGAGAATGCGAAATAAAAGCGGAAAAATAATACCCAAAATTGATAACGGAGTTCAACCAATTTTGCTTACGTCTCCGGACTGCTGCAGATCTTTTACTAAGAGAGAAAAATTACAGGTGTTTACAAAACACTCACTACTCACAAGAAAACTCTCTAGTATTGGGAGAAAGAAAATGATTTTGGGATGGTTTTGAAGCTAAATGAGCTAGGGTATTTATAGTTGAATATTAAGGACTTAATCTTGTAAATACCCTAAAGTCTAGGGATTAATTGTGATTATCCCATTATCATTTTTCAACAAACATCTACCAAACTTTGAAAAATTATTTTTCAAAGAAACATTTACCAAACTTTGAAAACCATTTTCAAAAAATCATTTACCAAACTTTGAAAATCATTTTTTCAAAGTTGGTTGCCAAACTTTGAACTTAACTTTTAACAATACTTTCAAAAATCTCCCACTTGAAGACTGATTTTAATCTGTCTTCACACCTCGATCAATGCAACAGCATTTCTGGTCCTGTTATTCTAGAATGCCAACTGAAGTTGAACACAACTTCAGTTTGTCAATGGTCATTGTCTTTGTCAACATGTCTGCCAGATTTTGAGCTCCACTAATCTTTTCAAGCTTCAAAATCCCATCTTCCAGAAGAGACCGGATAAAATGATATCTCAACTGTATGTGCTTTGTCCTGTAATAAAAAGATGGATTCTTTGCTAGATGAATAGCACTTTGACTGTCGCAATACAAGACATTGTTTTCTTGTTTCTTGCGTAACTCTTCCAAGAAACTTTGGAGCCAAACCATATCCTTGTTGGTTTCCGTAACAGCGATATATTCTGCTTCAGTTGTGAAGAGAGAAACTATCTTCTGTAGTTGAGAAACCCAACTTACTGCAATACCTCCTAGATAATAGACATACCCTGTAGTGCTCCTTCTGATGTCAACATTTCCAGCTAAGTCAGCATCTACATAGCCTGTCAGTATCGTATCTCCACCTTTGAAACAAAGTGCTTTGTTTGTAGTACCCCGCAGATATCTGAGGATCCATTTGACAGCTTCCCAGTGTATTTTGCCCGGATTATTCATGTACTTGCTAACAGCTCCCACTGCTTGAGCAATATCTGGTCTGGTACAAACCATGGCATACATCAGACTTCCAATTGCTGAGGCATATGGCACATTCACCATGTGTGCACGTTCTTCCTCCGTCTTTGGTGATTGTTCTTTGGAGAGTCTAAAATGAACACCTAAAGGTGTATTTACTTGTTTAGCATCTTGCATTTTGAACTTGGAGAGTACTTTGTTGATGTACTCAGTCTGTGATAACATCAAAGTCTCTGACTTTGTGTCTCTCTTGATCCTCATCCCAAGAATCTGCTTTGCAGCGCCCAGATCTTTCATAGCAAACTGCTTCGACAATTTTTGCTTCAAGTTTATAATCTCTTGCATGTCTGAGCCTGCAAAGAGCATGTCATCAACATACAACAATAAAATAATGAAGTTGTTGTCGAACCTCTTGATGTAGCAACAATGATCTGCTTGGCATCTGGTAAAACCACTGCTACTCATGAAGTTATTGAACTTCTTGTACCACTGTCTAGGAGCTTGTTTTAAACCATACAAGCTCTTCTTCAACCTACATACTAGGTTTTTCTTGCCTGCCTCTATGAATCCTTCTAGTTACCTCTTATAGATTTCTTCCTCCAAATCACCATGAAGGAAAGCTGTCTTTACATATAACTGCTCAAGATGTAAATTCTCTGCAGCTATAATTTTCAACACCGGTCTGATTGTAGACAATTTTACGACTGGAGAGAAAATTTCATTGTAGTCAATACCTTCTTTTTGCTGAAAGCCTTTGACAACCAATCTTGCTTTGTAGTGTTTGCTCCCATCGTGCTCTTCTTTGATCCTATAAATCCACTTGTTATGGAGTGCTTTCTTGCATGGTGGTAATTCAGCTAATTCCCACGTCTAATTTGACATAAGCGAGTCCATCTCATCTTTCATGGAAAGAAGTAGTGCACCTGTATCCTCTACCTGTATTGCTTCATCATAGCACTCTGGTTCACCATTGTCAGTCAGCAACAAGTAGTGCAAAGAAGGAAAATAACGTTGGGTTGGTTTAGGAATTCTGGAGGAGCGTCTTAGTTCTGGTGTGTCTGTTCTTCTTGAACTGCTTCAGGACTGATCTGAACATCATTTCTAGAAATCTCCTTGAACTCAGCAAATTCCTTTGTTTTAGCTTCGATATTTGAGCTACTTGATTATATGGTTGGCCTGTCTTTGTACATCATATTCTCATTGAAAATGACATCTCTGCTTCTGATGATCTTCCGGTTTTCGTAGTCCCAAAATCGGTAATCGAACTCATCACCACCATAACCAACAAAGGCACATTTGTTAGACTTAGCATCAAGTTTACTTCTTTCAACAGAGTCTATGTGTACATAAGAAATACAACCAAACACTCTTAAGTGTGAAAGGTTTATTTCTTTCTTGCTCCAAACTTCCTCCGGTATTCCACCATCCAAGGG